CGTACGACGTACGTCCTTGGCAGCGAAAGGGTTAAAGACCTCCATGTTCTAATCTCAGCATGTATGGATGGAAACCTCCTAAGACTATGTGAACACTGTGGGATCCCTGTATAGGATGGTTGCAATCACAGCACTGGTTTGCTTTGTGGGATCAGTTCTCCCTGATCTACACCTTTCTTGCATTGAATATCTGCCAGTTCTTCTGCCTGCCTTTGTTCTCAAAACATAGACAGTGCTGCAATCTGCACTGTGAGGGTACTACATGACAAGTTCTTTTCCTTACTCCTGGTCGCTGGCAAAAAATAGTAGGTCGTCCAGATACGGAATGACCCCTATTCCGTGCAGCCTGAGGGGAGCCAATGCCTCCGCCAGGACCTTTGTAAACACCCTTGGTGCCGATGACAGGCCAAACGGCAGTGCCTTGTATTGAAAGTGTAACGTCTGTCCGGGCCCCTGTATTGCAAATCTTAGCAACCTCTGAGCTTCCTCCGCCATCGGTATATGAAGGTACGCATCCCTTAAGTCTACCGTGGCCAGAAACATACATGGGAGTAATAATTCCCTGATCGTGTAAATTGACTCCATCCTGAACCTTTTGTAGCGCACGACTTTGTTCAGGGGCTTCAGGTTCAGTATAACCCTGAATCCCCCTGATGTTTTTTTCCTTAGGAATACGTGCGAGTAAAACCCCGCCTTTTCTTTTATTACTGGCACCGAACAAATTACTTCTTGATGTAGAAGGTTTTGTATTGCTGACGTCATATCCGCAGATTTGACCGGATCTCGAGATATGAAGGTCACCAAAAATCTGGAGGGAGGGATTTGCAGTAGCTCTGAAGCCACTGCGGGAGGAAATCCCTCAATCTTCCTCCCACAATGGCTGCCCTGTCATTGTGACTTGGGGAGCTGAGGAGAGGTAAAAAGAAAATTACTTTTCCCTTTCCCCTTCTTGTTGTCCCAATTCCGATTTTTGGATTGCCCCCCACCCTCTCTTTATGTGGAAGACCTCTTTTACTCGGCTGATAACGCTGACTTTTAAAGCCTTTTTTCCCCTGTTGTTTTTTGGGGAGGGGAAATCCTTTTTTCCGATCAGCTGATCGGTCAAGCAGTTTCCAGTTCCTGACCGAACAGGAGGTTACCGCCAAACGGAATTCCACTGAGCTTAGTCTTCGATGCCACATCTCCTGGCCACGTCTTCAACCACAGGGCTCTCCTGCTCGAGTTGATAAGGGCCGTGGTACGGGCAGAGATCCTCACCGCTTCCATAGAAGCATCCGCTATGTAGGCTACCGCCTTTTCTAGCACTGGCAGAGAATCCACAATTGTGGCCCTGTCTGTCCCCTCATTCAGATGATCTTTTAATTGTGCCAGCCAGACATCTAATGTTCTGGCCATACAAGTAACAGCCACCGCTGGCTTGAACCCGCCCCCCACGGCTTCCCAAGCCCGTCTGAGCAGTGCTTCAGCCTTTTTATCCATAGGATCTTTAAGCAGGCCCATATCTTCAAAGGACAGGTCTGTGTTCTTTGAAAATTTTTCCAGGGAAGCGTCCACCTTGGGACATTTTTCCCACACCTCCGAGTCTTCCCCTTTGAAGGGAAATCTTTTTAGCTTGGAGGAAAAAAAAAACACCTTCCGCTCCGGATCCTTCCACTCCATGGTCACCACGTCCTTAATAGACTGGTGAACTGGGAACGTGCGGCCCTTTTTGGGCTGTAGCCCTTTATATAATTTGTAGTGTATAGACAGTTCCCCTTGCTACCCGGAGATACCCAACGTATCCCATACTGACTTGAGGAGCTCGTTGGTCTCATGCGCAGGGAACAAATATCCCCCCTGAGATGGCCCTGTGTCTTCTCCTGACTCTAACCCTGCTTCCTCCTCGGAGTCAGCGGAAGAATTCAACACCGTAGCAGCCCTCTCAGAAACACTGCTTGCTCGTGAGGCTGTACACTTCCACCGGCCGACGCCGCACAGAGACCCGGGGGATGCCGCTGTAGTCACCACAGATCTGCAGGTAGGAGAACACGCCATACACAGACACCTGAAGCAGGGGTTTATGGACTAGGGGAACTGAGTCCGCTACACCAAATGGCCTAGTTGTCCTGCATACTCTTATGCCGGGAAACCACAGGCAGACAAATACTTTTTTGGACAGTTGGGGCTGTCCCAGAAGCCCCCCTTCATGGATACCCCAGGTCCACTGACCCTCTGCTGTACCTTGTTGGGGGAAGCCCCTGCTCACTAGCACGTAGGCCTAGAAAAAAAAATAACAAATGTTACGATGTCATGCTCGGCCAGAGGAAACACAAAATAACTGAAGTGTGCTAGGCTGGGACTCTTTATTCTAGGTGTGGGTGATGTGTTTCCTGTTTCCGGTGGGAGGAGCCTATCTCTCTAATGTTGTCCTGGAAGGTGACTAGAGAAAAAGGCTTTGCCTTTTCCTGTTAAGGTGCACTACTAGATCGGTCTCTGCTTCTTGGGCTTTTCTGCATTGAGCAAGTACTACCAGGTGGATGTTCTGATATCTACTGATGCTAGTCTCGGCTGTAAGGTGCCATCTGAAGTTGGGGCTGAACGTTTGTTGCTGTGTTGCCTACCCCGGTGTGTTGCTTTTCTATGTTAGGTCTATAAATTGCCTGTGCCCTGTACAGTATAATAGGATTTTTACTTGCCTGTAAAATCCATTTCTCAGATTACAGTATAGGACACAGGCAATTCATATAGGACTGGGTAATATAAACCGGTATCAGGCCAGAGCTGTGAGGACTCATAACCACTCCCACTACAGGAAGTATTTTTTAGCAAGCAATAGAAGACATAATGGGGATGGTGCCATCTTGTACTCCAAGAATTAGATTTTTCTTGGCAAGTCAAAATTCCTATTTCAGCCTACTCCTGCACTACAGAAGTTGCTAATGTGAATGAGACAGTCAAACTACTTCAGAATTATGAGGGAAACACACCAGGGCTGCCCACTAGAGCCCTTCCATTATGCAGTAAGAGCTAACAAAATGCACCTATGGCCAACTTGCTGCCAATTCTCAACCGGAAAATATGTTGCTTCTTGACAGCTGGACCTCATCTAAATAGCTGGCTCTCCCAGGACGCAATCCAGTAAATATTTACACCCAGCATTAGAACCCTAGAGTTCACATCAATTTAGACACTCTCTGCCCTTAAAATTACTGTGTTGGAGACATGTGTAGGAGTAGGACAGCACAGGATGCTTTATCGAATACCATTTCCCCCGGAAATAAGACATTTCTTGTATTTTTTGGGCTCAAAAAAACCACACTAGGTCTTATTTTCGGGGTAGGTCTTTTTTTAATGTACAACAATCCACACTTATTCATGTACAACAGTCTACATGCATTCATGTACAAAAATTTGGTGATCAGGGGCACCGTACCTTTCCAAGAGCAATTTAGTAACCAATCACTGGCCAGAATGAGCGAAGCACACTTCACTATAGATTCCTCACAAGCGGAGTGCATTTGGTATCACTCCGACCTGTGACAGGAGTCGGTGTTAGGCTCTGTTCACACCTGGGCGTATCAAATATGCGCGTTTGTCGTGTGTTTCGTGACGCGCGTTTTTACAGCAATTCACGGTAAAAAAACTGCAAACTACTGCTACTGCTACTTGGCTGTATCCCAATGGAAACGCTCGACAAAAACGCTGCAAAGAAGCTCATGTACCTTTTCAGGCGTAGGCCGTTTTGTAGCGCGTTCAGACGGGCTGAAATACGGCAAGGTGTGAACCATACCCATAGAAAACAATGGGAGTTTCATGTTTGAGCGGTTTTTAGAGCGTTCGTAGAGCGTTGAACGCGCTACAAAACGTACAGGTGTGAACCAGGCCTTATAGAGGAAGCATCGGCTTATGCTTCTACTAACTCAGTTGCCGCCTCGCTTCCTCTAGCGCTGGATTTGTTGACACCGCTGATTCTCTCCCGCGGCTATTCAAGTTCCCCATTATGCCTCCACCTGCCCTGGGAATGGTCACAACTAGGTCTTATTTTTTGGGGTAGGTCTTATATTTTAGCAATTCCCAAAAATAGTACTAGGTCTTATTTTTCGGGAAACACTGTATATAATCTCCTTTTCACACACCCTCCCCTTATCCTAAAAAGTGGTAAATCGAACAAGGCATGACTTTCACCACACAACAGCATGAAACTTATATTTTGCTAGGGCTAGAAGATCCCATCGAGCTGGTATGAGGTTCGATATACCTTATATAGGGCAAACTGGACAAATTCCCACCTGCTGGAGATGTGATGCAGAGCCAGGTAACATTTTCTACATCTTTTGTCACTGCCCCAAGCTACTACGAATCAGGAACACTGTACATACCATATTTACAGATTTTTGTCAAACCATGATTGCTTTTAGGAAAGATCAGGCCACACGGTTGGTCAGGGTAGAGAAAGAAAAATAAAAACGTTCACTTTCCTTTCTTTGTCATGACATACAATATCGAGTGCTGAAAGTAAAATGTTTCTTCTTAAAAACATAATGTTTTATTTAGAATTAAAGTACTTTGATATCACAAAAACACATTAAACTTCAAATGACATTGCAATAATCTGGAGTGCGCATTTATTAAACATCAAAACATGCAAACAGAAATAATTCAGGAAAGATGATCTGGATTGAATAAAAGTCAACATCCTGCCCTCAATATCCGATCTAACCTGGACAGAGACCAGGGCAAACATTCAACCCCACCAGTAAACTGAAGAGATGCTGAAATGTTTTACAACTCATCTTAGATGACTAAAAGAAAAAAAAAAAAGCTCTAGACACCGAACATTGCAAGATTACTAATCTTCATCCGAAGAATCTCTTTCAAATGTGTAAGCCATGAAGCAAGCATCTGGTCTCTTAGGGACAAGGGGATGTCCAGGTCTCACAATCTCAAAGCCCAAGAAGCTGAAGGTTCGCAGAAGTGCAGCTGCAGGAAGATTGAAAAAGTTGGTAAAACACAACACATCACTCAGAGACTTCAGTTTTAAATTACAAAATAGTTTTGAACACTTCCAAGGAAAATTAATATAAAAAGACATTTAGAGGTTCCACTATGATGCATAAATAAATAACTAGATGGGTGCACATGGCCTGAACAGGTTTCTTGGTACCCCTAGAAAAGATTATATAACAATTAGATCATATTTTAGTTTTCTGTAATTATCACTCAGGTCTCAGGTCAGTTTTGTAAAATCGGTCATTCAACCTATTTAAATGGAGAAAAATTAGTGCTTTGTGTGGTCCACATAATGATACCACACAGCAAAGCTGAGTAGATCAGAAAATTATAGCCCAGCATGTCAATGGTAAAGACAAGACCATCTCCAAGCAGCTTAATGTTCCAGTGACTACAGTTGCACATTTTATGGACTGTGGGAGTGTAGTGAACCTGATTGTGGCTGCAAGAGGAAAATGTACCCCAGATTGAACAGGATAGTGAAAAGGACAGTGAGACTAGCAGACGGAGCCAAGAAAACTTTCCAGAGATACAGGCTGAACTTCAGAGTCAAGGTACATCATTGACTTATTGCACCATCTGTCAGTTTTTGAGTGACAGTGGGCTCAAAGGAAGAGGTTGGAAAAAAAACCAAGCCAAATTTGCTCAAATTAAATTATGCTGCAGTGCCGTCCGTCCGTTTTTTTACTACGGGCGGACGGCAAGAGGTTAAGCAAGTCACATCAGCTCTTCCCGCAAAGATTTCCCCACCTAGGAAGCCAACTGGAGGAACGGATGGGGGAGGGGGTGGGCACAGCTGCCTCTGGATTGACAGCGGACTCTGCCCATCAGCCAGCTGAGTGGATCTTGACAGTCTTGTCCCAGCTGCAGCAATCAGTATATAGTGGGCAAGAGCCCATTATATACTGAGTTTTGGGTCACAGGAGGATGTTAGTATATGTCCTCCCGTGACCCTTAAGAGAACTGGGAGGGGGGGGGGGGGGTTACCCCATAGTTCTCTTAAATGTTCTTTGCAAAACTGTTTCACTGTACATATTGGGATTTCCTCTTTTTGATGAGCACACATCTTTTAAGCTGGACTTAAAGAGAAAATGGTCCAAGGTGCTAAACACAATAATGGAGACTTAAATTTTACTTAAACAGTGCTTGATCATACAGAATAATCATAATGCTGTTGGCCTTCTGCTTAAGAACTATGACCTTTTTTGCCTTAGTTCTCTTTAGGGTCACAGGAGGACATATACTATTGTTCTCCTGTGGCCCAAAACTCAACATATATTACGGGCTGTTGCAGACAGCGCAAAGCCGCTCGGCAGCCAGGACAGATCCTGACAATACCTGATTGACAGCTGGGTCTACTTTTCTAGAGGCAGAGCCAGCTGTGCCCACCTCCTCCCCCATCCATCCAGTCAGCACTGGAGGAACAGAGGGGAATCGCTGTGCTCGGCAGGAAGGAAATTGGGAACTGAGTAATCAGCGCTCAGTTCTCGATCAAAAGAGCCGATCTATGACAGCCTCAGTGCTCTAATTATGGGGATGAGCGCATTTCACTCTCCCCATAATTCTCCTTTAAGCACCATTTGATGCATTCTGACACACACTTTGTGCTCCAATATATCTTCAATTATTGCATACCGAAGCCTAGGGACCCTTGGAAGCAATATTGACTGAACTGAATCCAGTTTTCATAGTAGCAGCATTTCGTTGCTGTTCATTGCCAAGACTTGTTTAAAAAACCAATACTAATATGATCCTAGGGATTTGCCCAGCCAGGAAACGGTCACAAAATGTAAACTGCAAATTGTGAGAAGCTTGCACATGTACAGGATGTGAACTTACCTCTATCATCTCTGTTCTTGTGGAAACAAATAAAAACATGGTCGACTTGGAGTTGTTCCTCTGCAAATTCAAGCAGAACAGCAAAGCTGCAAAGAAGAAAAAAAAAAAAAACTTACAAAGTCAAACATGTAAAAAGGGTACTTCACGTATCCATTTGTAATACTTTCTTTAAACTGCCATTTTAATGCAATATTCCTTAGTAGGCAGAAAAGCTAGTTGCACTTTTCTAAAACTATGAGGTGAGTGGAAATCACTCATCTCATAGTTCTCCTTTAATCTTTTTATGCAAGCATAAAGGGTTTATCTCCATCTATGTAGCTTTACCCAATCTTCATGGGAATGACAACAGGCGAGGAGCCCCCTGAGATTGGACAGTTTCTGCCCTGTCAATTGTCTGATGTCATGCAGTCTTCCAACCCTCAGAAATCCAGTCAAAACCTAAAGCTTTGCAGCTCAATTAAACTGCCTGAAAAGGTTTATAAGGTAATCATGCACAGTACAGACATCCTACTGTAATTACCTATGGTAGCTTTTAAAGAAGAACTCCAGAAATGTTAAACTTGCCCTTGCAGTGGTGCTACCCCTGCACTGCAAGATTTAAGTCCTTGTTTTGTCTAGGGGAGTCAAATAAAGCAGATATACTCACCTGATCTGGTTTTCGGTCTTGCTGGGCAGCTAGGCCAGTTTCCACAGCCTCTCCTGCCCTGGGCTCTGGCAGTCCAAGGACCCCAGATGTCACACAACTAATGCAGGTCCATTGATTTGCATTAAACAGGACAAGGGGCATTCCACAGCAAGAGAGGGGGAGGAGAGTGTTTACCTCTGCAGGACCAAGGACCAGATGAGTTGATCGGCTTTGACTCGGACAAAACTTGCACTTAAACCCTTGCAGTGCAGGAGTAGCTTTAAATCAATCATGGTTCCACTGTTTGAATTTTGTTCCCAGACTGCACAAAGCCTAGGCTTCTGTCCTAATCAATAATAAGCCCCACCTCCTATGTTACAAAGGTCATACTGTTAAAATGTTCAGTGCACAAAAGAGGACCTCCAATTGACCAATGAACAAATGAGGAAGGTCTTGATACCAGAAGGAGCAGGGTTTAACCCCGACTTTGGTAGTAAGTTCAATGAAGAACACCGGGATAATTGTAAACATTAACACAACGTACTTCTGGTCTTAGGCCCATTCATGCCTTTGCATTCGGTCAAATGCCTGAAGCACGACAATGCTCAAGATGACTAATCCTATTTGTCTCAATGTGGCTGTTCACACCTGAGTGTTTTGCTTGTCACCTGTTGCTCAAAAAGTACACGAGTTTGTCTTGGGGCAGAATTGTTTTTGGCTCCACAAATATTTTTAAAATGAGGGTTTACATGCATTTGTCAGCCACTTCTATTTATAGATCTATGGAGCCAAAAACATTTGTTTCAACCATATAGCCATTTAAACATCAATTTTGTGACACCATAGACTAATAGGCTCAAAATATACCAAGAGGGTATTTTTGCTCATTCAGATCAGACTGTAAATAACCTTTCAAGCTGCATATTAATTAAAATTGTATGACCACCATAGAAGCCTTAAACCCAACACACAATCCCCTCTAATATAGCTAAAGCAGCCCTGCAGATACTTGGACAATTCTGGATCCAGTAAGGTGTGTGCAGAAATGCTACCGATTGTCTCAGGAATCAGTAGTATTGCTTGTATACATACCACCATGGCCTGCAAATGAAACTTGAAGCAAAGTAAGTCCAGAGCTGCCGACTGCTGTATTACAGGCTTGATTTAGGCATAAAGGATCATACAGAAGGGGGTTTAAAATAGGATAGATCGTATATAGAGTTTAGCTCATTTATGGTCACTAAAAGTTAAGACGGTTATTATCCAAGTTTTAACTTACCTATCTTTGCTCCCATCAGGGAGTGTGCCACTTGGAATTTCTATGTACAGGTTATTGTTATTTAGTACAGCTTTCCAGTCTACTTGCTTCCCATCTATTAGCCTGGATTGGACATTAAGAATTCTGGTCCTGTTATGGGACGTAAGCTCCTCTGTTATATTCAGCCGGTTATCCTAGACAAACAAAAAACAATACATTTTAAGCCTTTATCAAGAAAGGAAAGAGCAGACCCCATAATAAAAACATAATAGTCAGAACACTTAGAAGGAGAAGGGGAAAAAAAAAAAAAAAGGGATTTTTGTACCCATAAAATAATTGATTTAATTAAAGGACACAGGATACAGAGACAAATGGGTTATACTGCCGCCTACATGAGGTGTTGGACACTGGAAAACAGTGACCAGTCTTATAACCCCTCCCTTTTCCAGAATGCCTCACTTTTGTAACAAAGCAGTATCAAGGGCAAGAACCAGGGGAGCAAAGCTGGTCTTCTTTAAACGCAAAGAAAAGGATTTACAACATCCAATTTTCTTTCTTGGTAGTTGAGGGACATAGGGCTCAGGCAATTGGGATTTCCAAAAGCCATTTGAGGATTGGGCAACACAGCAAACCCTGAACAGGCCCACTATAAAACAGAAAACTGGAACCTGCCTTCAAGCTGCCTGAAGGGTCCAAAGCTGGCATTAGAAGAGACCTAAATGACCCCTGGTAATACTAGAGAACACGTGAACAGAAGACCAGGTGGCAGCCTTGTAAGCAGATCTAGTAGACTATGCCTTCACACAGGTGGTACTAGATGCTAGGAATGATGAACTGCCTAAGCCACTGAGAAATGGTGGAACAAAAAACTGGCCCCCCTTTGCAGGGGCCATCAGTAACGAGTCAGACTTTTTAATGAAAGCATTGGCTGTGACATAGACACATACAGCTCAAACAAGGGAAAGCTGCTGATGTACTGGACAGGGCAACAGTAGCAGTGTTCTGTTTGGGCTGAAAGGCTAAAAATTGTCTTTGGAAAAAATAGGCGGTGCTAGGCCTTAATACCTCCTTGTCCAAGACCAGAAAGGGTCCTTTACAGGACAAGGTCACCAGATTGGACACATGCCTCGCAAAGGTGATGGTAACAAAGTAACGATGTGAACAAGTGTGGAAAGAGTAATATTGCAGATTGGTTGAAAAGGAGAACACAAAATTCAAACCTCAGTGTGACAGGTGAATGCATAGGGTAAGCCACATGAAAGACACCCTATTCGAAGGTCTTAAAGAATAGAATGCTAGTGGTCCTTGAAACAAGATTTTAAGTGCCAAGATTTGCCCTTTGACAGTACTCTAGACCAACTGTTGATCCAGAACAGTTTCCAAAAAGGCAGATTTACCTGTGCTAACGTTTCTTTCCTGACACCCAGTAAAGTATTATTCAATGTGTGATGGTAGACCTTGTGGGAAATGGACTCCCCAACTTTTAGTATTGTAAAAAATCATCTATAAGAAAGACCAATGTCTCAAGACCTAGTAGTCAACAGCCATGTTAAAGCTAGTGAGCAAAAAGCAGGGTAGTACACCAGCCCCTAGATACAACAATCCATATGGATTGTAAGTGCCCACAGAGGGTCTCTGCAAGAAGTCATCAGGTCAGAGTACCACATCTGCCAATCATTCTACACAGTAAAGCAGGGCTGTTGGCAGGAGCTCAAAATGCTCCACAAGAAAAGAATCAGTGTGGAGGGACACGCTTGCTTGACTAGTTTAATCCATGCCCCTAAATGTTTTACAGATCACTGCCATGACAGGTTCTAAGGGAAGGCCTGTGTTTATGAAAGTCTCCAAATATTTGACTAAGGGATCCTTATACATTTTATAGCATTTAACCAAATGGTTTGCCAGCAAAATGTTTCAGAAGTATAAGTTTTATCAGGAGTTTCCCCAGTCTGTACAGGACATCCTGGAATGGCAAGTGCATGGGAAAGGTTTTAATAGTTTTGGGGCCCATCAGTGGTCCTAGATTGGGAACCTTGGGAACTCAAACTGGCTGCTGGAAGCAGGACAGGTTCAAATAGCCATAGGTAACAAGGTCAATCAGCAGCAATGGTTTACCAAAGTGAAACAAAATGTATCTTGCTACAAGAAGCAATGGCAAAAAGGTGCCACCTCAGATTGAATGGCAGAACAAGAGAAAGAAAAAGAAAAAAAAAGCTAGTAAAGACTTCTGCTGGTAGGAAAAAAAATGTCAATCCTCCATGGACACTAGCAAATTCCCCCATTAGATTAATCGGTAACAGTATTCCTGGAAATCTTCCAGGGCAGCAACCGGAGAGATTATTGGTTGCTCTGTCTACAGGAAACTGTTCTAGTTGTGTTTCCTGTAGACTGAGGAACCAATCATCTCATGTTGCTGTCCTGGAAGATTATTGGGGAAGACACCGGCTATGCCAGTATTTAAATCCTCCTGTAGGTGGCAATACAAAATCAATAGTCTCTGAATCATGTGCCCCTCAATGAATGAGGAGATTATCCGTTTCCAAAGGTAGATAGGTGGCAATACCTCTTCACTGAAGTTGTCTTCTGAGCCACAGGCAAGGCAAACATTATCTTTAACTGCCTCCGGGCCGGCCGTAGTAAAAAAACGGCCGGCCAGGAGCTCTCTAGATCTGAGCGGGCGTCTCTAGACGTCCGCTCAGACACACCCCCGAGCGGGAAATGGCCGCAATTTAAAAACGGGCAGCGATGCCCATTAATATACATGCGATCCGCCGGCTGTAAAGCCGGCGGATCGCTTGTATTTAGCGACGATCGGTGCGGCCCCCCCGCCATTGTCCGGCTGATCAGCATGTCACCTGTGACACGGGATCAGAGAGCTCGGTACTTTGAGAGCAATAAGTCTAGGGCCATCAATCACTGATAACACTAAACTGATGAGCGGTAAAAACGTTTAAAGCGTCGCCTATGGCTAATTTTGGTTGCGGTCGTTTTCGGCGATGTTGCGGGTGCGCGCAATTTTAAAGCTTGACATGTTTGGTGTCTATTTAACCGACGTGACCCGATATTTTATATTTGACCAAAAAACTGGGTAATAAATGTTTCCTAACATATTGTTTAAAAAAAACGGGTTTTTTTTCAAAATTTTCCGTAATTATAAAAAAAAATAAAACCCCAGTGGTGATTAAATACCACCAAAATAAAGCTCTATCTGTCCCCAAAAAATGGTGTAAAATTCATTTCAGTACAGCGTTGCATGACGGAATAAACGTCAGTCAAAGTACCGCAGCGCTGAATACTGAAAAATGGCCTGGCCAGGAAGGGGGTCTAAACACCTGGTCTTGAAGTGGTTAAAAGGGACATTTGCTATTTAACTTTGCAAGAGTCACTATAAGGCTCCCTTTTCACATGTCTCGTCATCTCTTGTTGTAAAATATGCCTGTTTGCAGACCTCAACAGCTTAAGCTGAAAGTACACATTTAAATAAACGAGTGAGAGGAGTGCCCAATAACTAGGACACCTGTTGATTAGCTTGCTTTCATTGAGCCATTTATTGGCAGCTTTCTTGTGTGCTGCATGGTAAGCCAAATCAGGTTTCTTTTTGTAACTGGACCATATACACACACTACATGAAGAATCTGACAGTTAAGCTCATCTTAAACTCTCAGTGCAAAGATTAATATGCAAACACATACTTACAGAATAAAATAAATTAGCTGAAAGATTGTGATCCCTTTGACTATTCCCTCGCCCACCTGGGATCTTCAGGGGTGGGTGAGGGACATCAGGAACACCACCGAGGCCCGGGACCCAGGTTACTACAGCAATTGAAAGAAACCCTGGAACTAAAAAGAAAAGTTACACGTTAGAAAGGTCTCATGTCCCATATGAAAAACATCACAGTAAGGCCCCTTTTAGACGGATGTTGTGACATGCCTGTCAGTCTATTTTTTCCCCCCTTCATCTTGCGATGGAGGAGAAAACAGAAGTTACAAAAGCCATGTTGGTCCATGGGGAATCTGATGCAACAGAGATGTGTCCTTTTACATCAAATTTACCTCCGATCTGGAACAGTCAGTTCCACCGAAACGGGCCTGTAATCAGTTTGCTTTTCTGTACCTGCCTGGAGCCAGATACAACCAGATGCATGCCCATTTAGATCCAGATGACCATAGACTAACATTGGGCTTCCAATCAGGTCCACCTGAAAAACTAACAGACTGCCCTGATAGGAATGCTTGTGTAAAAGGGGCCAAATAGCAATGTATTCAAATCATAAGTCATTTTTCAGCTTCCCAAGTACCCAAAAGCAGTATGAAAAATTGTTACTTGTGTTCTCATCCAGATAAAGTAATATATATAAACCAACTTGTAGAAGTGTCTGAAGTGCCCGCAGGCTTAGTGTTCAGATTGCACAATACTGATCGCTACAAGTTAAACATTGCTAGCAGAGACCCCAAATGCTGTGTACACAGTCATATGAGGAAGGTACATGCAGAAGAAAAGGAAAACAAGCTGACCTAATCTATATATATATTAGGTGCCTAATTAAAGACTATTTAAGACAATTATTTCAAAATCTATTATTTGATCTTGTGGTGAAGAATTAATCTGCAATGGACTGTACCGAGTAATGCACCTACCTTGCATTAAAAGGAGAACTATGGGGTCAAAGGTAACGGGAGGAAACAAACTAGCGTCCTCCTGTCACCCTAAGCTCAGTATAGCGCGAGCTACAGCTCGTGCTATACTGAGACGCCGCAGCCGGGACGGATCCCGACATTACTGTCTGGATCCACCCAGCTGAGGGATTGACAGCTGGCTCTGCCAATCCAGAGGCAGAGCCAGCTGTGAATCCCTGCAGGGAGGGGTGAATGACAGTCACGGCTCTCTACAGGGATAGATCGAGAAGTGAGCGAGCGACGCTATGTGTTCGCTCAGTTCCCGATCTATTGAGCCGACATGTGACAATTTCATTGTCACAGGTCGGCTAGAAGTATGAGGCTGAGTGATTTTCACTCACCTCATAATTCCCCTATAACAGTGCAGGAAGTGTGTTGCCATTCATATGAATGGCACCCCAAATGCAACTGTGGTACAACGATGTGCGTTGCGGCTGAAAAACATGCATGTTTTTTTTTCTCCAACTGCTCCATCGTCAAGGGCAATCTGGACAGGAGGTGCGTTTGAGGTGCCATTCAAATGAATGGTAATGCACCTCCCACACTGTTAACTGCACAGGATTGTGCGATTAACACAGGGTTAATGGAAACGGGCCCTAAACCTGTACATGCATTCATGGTCACCAATTCATGATTTACTATGAGCACTGGATCACTATCAGAGCCAAGCAACAGCTCTTCCACAATAGTTCAGGGTATTGACAATTGTATTGAGGTGATGTCTGAAAGTAATCTATATGCTTCAGGAATCAAACTGATTAGTAAGGGATCCTATATGAGGGAATTAAATTAAAATACACTGAAAGCAGAACTGGTTTGATAAACCTGAACATAATGCATTACTTCAAATGTGAAATGCAATAGCCACCATCCTACCAAGCTTAAAAACACATCTTCAGTTTATACCAAAAACAAACTGAAAGTGCCGCAAAAAAAAAAAAACACCTAACAATTCAATTACATTTTCACTAATAAGCTCTTGTCTACACAAGAATTACACTCCTCTCTACACACCATCCCTCAGCTCATCTCAGCAGATGCAGGCAGCAAGCAGATGCCCATGGGGATAGGAGAGACCTGAAAACAGCAGCCATTTGCAGCTTGCTTTCTGCATATGAACAAAATAACCCTTCCATTTTGTAGTGCAATTATAGCTGTTAATACTGTGAAGTGTCATTAATAAGCTTTTACTACTCTGCAGGTTCATAACTGTTGGCAGGGCCATAACAGAATCGTTTCATATTTCTGGTGCTGCAAATGTAACTAAATATTTCAAATTAAAGTTCACTTTTAGATACTGCATGAAAAAGGTAGGCAAACGCATGACATGATCATGAATGGAAAAGCCACAAAGGGCCGAGCTTGCAGACGCTACAGCACACATGATGCATATGCATTACTATTTCTCCCAAGGTCCAAACTAATTATTCTGAGGCAGGAAAAATGCAGCAGGATTGTGCTGGAGCTCTGACGTATACATTTCACAGAAATTTCCCATAGCTTATATGTAGTAGAGGTGTGTTGTACCACTGAAAACCGAGTGGGAACCAAGGCTAATCACACTTAAAGCAGACCTAACGTTACACTGTTCACCTTCTACATCAACATGCCTACTGCCTGAAAAAGCCAAGAGCGGCAAGCTGCCCAAATCCAGGTACTATCCTGATGACCGCTTAAAGCTAGCCATAGACTGCTATTTTCTGTTCAATCCGTGGACTGAATGAAGAAAAAAAAAATATAGCAGATTCCTCCATCAAAGCTACGAGTGCATTGATGGAGGAAGCCCACTGTTTCTTTTGTATTCGCCACTGTCACAATTCCCAAAGACGAGAGCTTGTACAAAGGTTTTCTGACCAGTACCATCGATCAGGTGGTTGAGTGATGCCAGTCAAGAGGGTGCCGACAGCAGCACCCACTGTGCTAATTTCAGTGTATGGCCACCTTTACAGTCCAATCTTTCAGGCTAGGTTCAGACTATGGTGATCCGTGACCACGCGGCAATCATGCACGAAACCACGTGGACACAGAATCGCCCACCACCGCGTTGGCTGTGCCATTTTTTTCCAATGGCACCCCAGTCGTGCCAGGCAGAACGCGTGGTTTCCCGCTGCCATTTTGCATGTTCACTAAACCACTCCAAAAAAAGGTACATGTACACTTTTTGCAATTGCCGCTGGATGTAAACCCATTGAAATCAATGTAAAATCAGATCTAATTACAACAAGTGTAAACACCTAGTAAGGACTGTATAGCTAGCAAAGGATGGTGCCGCAAGTTGGGGATTAACTGTAGAAGGCACCCTGTTACTTATAGCAGTTTACTACTGCTGTGTTTTGTGAGGCAACAACACAAATTGGCTGCCCAGGCCTTACAGAACCACCCATGGCAAAGTAAAAGAAATCAAAAAGCTGATTGGAGCGGGAGGGAAAATGCTTCAGTTCTTAGGAGGTGGGAGTCTAAATTTAGGATTGCATTGAAGTAGATGTATACCACAACTAGACTACATTTAGATTGTAGTGGCAGTTTGCAGGTTGGCACGTGGCATTGTTCCCACTTTTAGGATTTTACATCAGCGGCTCCAGCCTTTATGCAGCCACTTTAGGTGCCTAAATTTTTGGAAAACGTACTATTCAATCAAAATTTCAGCCCCAGAGGGGCTGAAGTAGAGAAAATACTTAATTCACTACTGCACGGATGGGGGAATACTTTCCCCTCCGCCCTTGTATTATGAAAGAACAGGGTGTAACACTGTCAGAATACCTAAACTGACTACAACTGATTGCCTGTAGTCACTGTTCGGACAAGAATTTTTAGACCAGCCCCTTCAACAATTTATAGTATTAAGGTCTGGGTGTTTATTTTACCTTAATGCATTCTCTGCATTTGGGTAAAACCACCTGGAACCTTCTACCCCCCACCACCCCAATTTACCTGTAGGCACGGATGCCTCCACAGCAGCCGCTTAGCTGATGATGGCACCTGAGGGGGGAACCACTTGAAAACGAGGAATTGAAAATTTTTAAAGTAAAATGGCAACAGTCTTAGACAAAGGAGGGCCTACTTGTAGCAAATATTTAAAAGAAACAAAAAATGTATTTTGGCTATAAAGCTGAAGGGTCTGCTTTGGGGGGACCTGTTCTAATGACCGGAGTAGTGGGCACCAGGAAAGGCAAGCTTGTACAACCTTTTATAACGCCAGACTTCTGAATGTCATTCTAAACCTGCTTCGATTTTAGAAATGGAGTTTTTTTTTTTATTATTTCATTCCAGAAAATAAGCATGCTCACTTCCATTTCTTTTTTTCAGCACTACGATTCCAACGAAATCCAAACGTTCTGAAAAAACATTTAACAAAAAATTCTAACCCCGTATTTAGCATAACACAAAACGCCACTAACCGTTACGTGTGACAACATTTAGTATTGCTTAGGCCCTGTACTCGAATCATGTGACCTCTAGAGCACCCTGGGGTGCCTTCTGGCTTCCTCAAAGATCACATGGCATCATTCCTTTCCAAAAGGTGGAACGCTGATGTAAAAGGTGGGCTCCTGATGTCAAATGGGAGCTCTGCTGTAAAGGTGGGCTCCTGGTGTCAAATGGGAGCTCTGCTGTAAAAGGTGGGACTCCTGATGTGAAGGAGTGCCGTGACCAAAGAAGGTTGAGAAACACTGATCTAGAAAATAAATATTTCCAGCCAGTATGGAAAATATGCTTGAACAAAAAAGTAATGCTGCTACGTAACCAAGTAAAAAGAATGCTAAGGATTCCTAAATAGAAAGATTTAGATAAAACGGTGAACCAACCATCTACTCTACATGGGTGGCTTAGAACTGACACTGCTGAATTAACCAGCAATCTTATGCAGCCTCATTTACCCCATCTCCAGCTAGGAAGGCCACAAGACACCAACTAGTAAGAGATGGCGCTTAAATCTACAGTCCCGAGCCCCAGATTCAGATTTTATTAGTCACATACATAATCGTACACAGTATGATATGCAGTGAAATGCTTACACGACTGTAAAAAAGGGGGGGAGAAGTGGATAGATAAGGGAAAGAATCAAATATGAATATAAATAATTTAAAATTTACACAAAATAGAATATAAGTATGAATGAAAAAAAAAATGGTTTAACTACTACATGCGTGTGTTATCACAGCACACCTGGCTCAGGGAAACCACCAGGATGAACAAAAATTCAACCTCATCAACTGACCAGGACCCAAAAACAACCAGCCTGGGGTGTCACGACAACCATAAACTAGTCTGATCACCACACAGACCAACCAAACCAGATGACCGTTAGCTTCTCAAATATACTGGTCATGGGCCTGGGCTTTATTGCCATCACTGAGAACGGCAAGGTGCCGTTACATGAGGCATAATATCCTAAGACATCAAATCTAACAGATCAAAACACTACCAAAAAAAAGGAATGATCAATTTAGGCTTTAACACAGTGATCAGGAGCTTTGCATCAGCCACATGATTCATTTCCAAAGATCATGGGCTCATCTGATAATACATGCCTTAAAAAAATGATGATTCATGTGTGGTTAGCTTTGTGAAATAACCCTCTTGCATCATCTCTTCTTTTACTTGCTTACCAGGCCTATATAAGGGCCAACTAAATCCAGTAAACATCTACGCACGCACAAACACACAATTGTATCATACAATCTCCTTTAGATGTACCAAAACTATGCAGGGCAAGGGCTGTCGGATTGGATGGATTAAGCAGGTCATCGTATTATGGAAAATCCTGAGTTGACATCAGTAAAATTATAATGGCCTCAAAATACACATTACAAGCGGATTGTCACAGATCTACCAGCTACATACAAGAGCTGTCTGACTGGCTAGATTATGTAGGGCCTTAGATTACACAATTGTGGCAAACCTAAACTGGTGTACCGTCAGATTGCAACATGTATGATGACCCCTGGGGGCAGGTTTGATATTACAGTAATCCTTCCCAACGTCACACACATCCCAATCTAAGAAGGCATTTAACACATGATTAGGCCTGGATCTACCTAGGCCCACCACATGAGGAAACTGCCATCGAACGCCTATAATAAAACCGAGAAGGATCAGAAAAGGGAGAGGAGTCAGGTGGACGACACATTTAATTCGTAAGAGCGGACAGATCAAAAAGGCCTCCTACCTTTCACTACTATTACTCAGAAGAGGCATGATGCAGCTTTTATTTCCTTCCTTTTCTCTGGCAAAGCAATGGCTATTGAGTATCCGTTGAAGAGAGGATTTCACCATCCGGCCTCTCTGGTCTTAGAACCAGAAAATCCTAGGCCTTCTGCCTCTTTCGCCGGAGCCTCTCAAAATGGCGAACCGCAGCGCGCAATAACACCTATATGTAGACGGCGCGTGCCTCCGCCTACAACACTGTCAGCTTCGCTGGCCAATCACTGATCCCACTCCTGCGGCCGCCCCGGGACGCGCGCTCCCAGAGCCCGCCGTTGATTGGCCGCAGAGTGAACTGGGAAGGTTTGCACGGGTGACCGTAACGATTCTCTTCTTCTCCCGCCCCATAACTTGCGCTTGGCAACAGCGCGCGCACGCCATTTTCTAGTGTAATGACGTCAGATGAAAGCACGCGGACGCGCATGTGGTTAGACTAAATAAGGACAAATAGTTTCGGGAACGTTGATGTGAACAACATGCGAGCTTTGCAGCTTGCCGGCATAGCACAGGCGCTCCGGTTCTAGCAGAGAAAGTAAGTGTGTCCCAATCTAGGCAATATAATGAGTCAGTGGAAGTATTACGGGCTGGTGTAACATGACAGCGCGCTAGCTTTGTGTGAGGAAGAGACCGTGAAACCGCAGTTACGACACAGTGTCACGTGATATAAGACGTAGGCGGAAGTGGGCGTTGCTTGGGAATAAAGCCTAGGTTTTATGTACATACAGCTTTGGCAGTCCAGTTCAATATTATTATTTTCATGTAAAGTATATTAAAACCCAAGAGCAAGTATGTCATGTATTGCAGCTTTCCAGTCCTTACATGTTGGTGCAGGCCAGAAAAAAAAAAGATTCCTTAGGTCCACATTCACACCTGAGCATTCCTTGAACGCACAACAAAAATGTGCTCTTTGACACACGTTCTGGAAAAGTGTCAAAAATGCAAACGTGCTTGCTGTGATGCTACCAGTTAATAGCGCTCCAAACTCGGCTGGGCAAATGTGTTTTTTTGCGTGCGTTTCAAGGTGCACAAATGCAGAAGAAAAAACAGTGGAATGCATGTTGCAGAATTTGGGACATGCACTACTTTCCTGCATTTGTTGTGCGTGCAGGAACCCATGGAAACAAATGGGGACTTGTGGCAAACGCAGGAAGAAAACGTGCGAGAATGCAATGCACTTTCCCAGTAGGCCTAGGTGTGAATGGGGACTTATTATTAATATTATTATTATACAGGATTTATATAGCGCCAACAATTTGTGCAGCGCTTTACAATATAAGGAGGATATTACAATCACAATGCAATTCAAGACAAGATGGTAAGGAGAGGCTTGCACCTGAAGGGTTACAATCTAAACAGTGCAGAAGGATGAATCTCCCACTATGTCTATTTTACCCTGACAGCTGGCACCCGCCACTTGCCATCCGAACAGTGGCTGCAGATGATTGGTGAAGTCACTGTTTGGCGGATAATTTTCCACTCTGTGTATGGCCAGCTTAAATTCTAAGTTCAACTTTTGGACCATGTTTCATGTTTTTTCCATATTCGGGGTGTAACATGCAGCATGGCCAGATTGGCACCCCCCTCCCATCCTCCCCACTTACCTGAATCGCAGAGTTCATCTCCTGAGGGCTGCTGCCGTATTTTGAATTCAGCGCAGCTGATACGTCCTCCATTCACACATCCTTTGACAGAATCTGTGAATTGAGAAAGTACAAGTCCCATCAGGCACTGTGGGAGAGGGACTCGTTGTTCTCAATAAAATACAAGTGCCGTGACGCCATGAGATGGAGAGGTGTTTTGTAGTTCTAACACACTTTCTGTCCAAGGGTGACGATACTGCTTCTCCATAGATATGGTGAGCCTTATCACCCTAAAGCTGGCCATACACCTATAGATTTTCGATCGGGAATTTTCGTTGCTGCCAAGAACTCTCATTCGATTCCAGCTCAAATAGCCCATCAAGTACAGACCAATGTCGATTCGATAATCGTTCGTTAGCAATACTAACGCACCAAATTTTGTCGATGGACCGAACTTATTTTTGTTTGCACATGTGCAGTGTTCTTGCATTGATTATTATTCTTTTGTTCTTTTTGTACGAAAACGCCACTAGTCCATTGATTTTCGTTCAAATCGAAAAAAGTTTTCCAGCCTCGCCCTTTCAAAAAAAATCTACCGGGATTACAGTAAAAAAAAAAATTGTTGGTGTCCCAACAACTGTTCGAATTTCGTTCGAAAAGAACATTCATGTAAGATTTCCGAATGAAAATCAAAGCATGTATGGGCACCTTAAGACAGGAAGTGTGTTACTGGCCATATCACTAGGTAAAAAGAAAGGGAAAAAATCCTGAAAAAAGAAAAGTAATGCAACCACCACATGTAAGGACATTGGTAAGCTGCAATACATTCCATTTCTGTTTTCGGCATTAGATGCACTTTAAAACCCAACTCTAAGCACAATAATGTTGTTGCAGTATAGTAAATGGGCAGTGACTTTGCTGTAAAGCCATCTGCCATATTCAGAACTGCCTCCTTCTTCCCTCAAATCATCAATATTCATGCAGTTGAAAGTCTAGCTCCCGCTGAACTTTCATGCTCACTCTGGCTGTAGTACTTCAGGTCTCATAGATCTCATCACTGTCGTCACATCCAGGGCTGGATTTTGCACAAGGCCAACCGAGGCCCGTCCTCGGGGCAGCAGGGAGTAGGGGGGCAGCAGGGGTGTGGAATTCCTATCTCCCAATGCCCGGGGCATGCAGTTCTGGGCGCCAAGCGGGTATTTGTTCTCTGCATTTAGCCCTGCTTTGGCAAGCAGGGCTAAATGTACAGCGGCAAAGCCGCCCCTTGTTTTGTACAAGTGATCTCGGCGATGTTGCTGAGATCACTTGTATGCGGGGGGGGGCTTTGTCGCATTGAAGAACCTGGCATTGGGCCGGCAGAGAGAGTAAATCCGGCCCTGGTCATATCTCTAACCCCAATAGTAAATAAAAGTAATTCACCGGCACACACTTGAAGGGTTTTTAAAGTATTGATATGTTTATTCAATACCCAAATGTCACATACTGTCATACGGTGCTAACGTTTCTAGTCCGCACAGGGATCCTTCATCAGAGCGACAGATGAAGGATCCCTGTGCGGACCCGAAACGTTAGCACCGTATGACAGTATGTGACATTTGGGTATTGAATAAACATATCAATACTTTAAAAACCCTTCAAGTGTGTGCCCGTGAATAACTTTTATTTACTATTAGTGTTACCTGGCACCACATATACCTTGTGGTTTTGGGACCGTGGCAATGCGAATGGGATTTGGACTTTATATCTCTAACCCCCTCTCCTCCTGGGCAGTCGGAAAGCAAAAGGCCTCAGGCTCCGTTTTGTAATTGTCCAGGAGGAGAGGGTGATAGCGATACAATCACACCGCTGAGATATATAAGACCTGCAGCACGGAGTGGGCACAGAAGTTTAGCGGGAGCTGGACTTCCACCTGCATGTTTACTGATGATTTGAGGGGAGATGGGGGAAGATCTTATTATGGCAGATGGCTTCACAGCAAAGGCACTCTGCCACTGACCTGCAATAAGATTATTGTGCCCAGGGTTCAGGGGCTGACTGGCAACTTTTAGCCCAGGGGGCAAGTACAACCCAGAGGCCCATGGTGCAGCAACTTGGCCCCCCTTCCGCTCTGCCTCTTCCCCGCATTCTACCCGCCCGTCTGCTACTTTTGCCATCCATGTAACAGTGGTGTGAATGGTCGGGAGATGCGAGGACTCCTAGTAAGTTCATGAAAGGGGTGACTGGCTAGGGGATGGTGCTCTCCTCCCACTGGGCCCCCTACATGGTTCTGGCCTTACTCCGCTCCATGTCCACTACTTAGGCACTCTCGCCCACTGTAGGCCGCCGCTGACTGTCCATGCTTCTGGGCTGTGAGCTGTGGGAGGGGCCGTACAGTGTCAAAGTCAGTGTTCTATAATTTTTCTCGATCCTATACATTTTCTCGACTGTGTCACTTCCAGTGGGGCCGAGTCATCTGAATCGGCTGTTTTCATGACCCCCTTTCTTCATGACATGCACACCTGGAAGTGACGCGGCAGATAAATGTATGGGTTGAGGAAAGTTAGAACACACTGGTAGTGGAGGCATGCCTCGTCAGTGCTGTGTGCGTGTACGACTGCTGCAACCCTGGTAGTTCTGCCACTAACTCCAAGCTGTAGAGGGACTACGAATCTCAGCACATTATACAGCAATGCAAATTAATACCACCAGCTAGAGAGGACAATAAATCTCAGAAATACATTGTACAGCATTGCAGAATGGCATTGGCAATAGAGAACTACAATTCCAAGCAATACATTACACAACAATGTAGAATACCATCAGCTATAGAGGACTATAAATCCCAGCAATAATGACTACCAACAGCTATAGAGAACTACAATTCCCAGCAATACCATTATTCAGCAATGCAGAACTGCATCAGCTATAGAGAACTACAAATCTCAGCAATACATATTACAGCAATGCAGAATAATATGAAGCTACATAGCTGTTGCTCTGGGTTCTCCGCCTGATGTCTCCAGGGTCTCAGGATGGTTGTGCGGGCTCTCACCAGGGGTCCAGAGAGTTTCACGGGTGCGTGTGGGTGCAGCAGAGGCGGCTCCCTAATTAGGCTCTCAGGTGGCCAATGCGGACTGTGAGGTGGTCAGTGCGGGATCTGTGGGGGCTCCCTAATAAGCAGTGGTGGGTAGTGGGGGCTCCACTGTGGCCAGTGGGGGCTCCCTGGTGGTTAGTGGGGGGATCCCTGGTGTAGGGTGACCATTTATCTAGAGCTGCAGCTAATGATTATTTTCAAAATCGATTAGTTAGCCGATTACTAAGTTCAATTAACCGGTTAATCGGGATTTTTAAAAAAATGGCTTCAATGATGGACTACTAGTTTGTATTGAGATTGTAGTCCATCACAGGAGCAAGCTTGGAGCGGTGGAAGAAAAACAACAACTGTGGTGTGCAATATAGTGAAATGGAAAGTGTGAAATTATACAGCAATCAATGCAGAACGGCACTGGCTATAGAGGACTACAGATCCCAGCAATACATTACACAGCGCAATGTGGAATACCTCCAGCAATAGTACATTATAGCTGGCGGTATTCTGCGTT